GGCTTGAACTACTTCAGTTGGTGTGCAATGAATCTAAAATATATGAAAGTTTAATGTTTATCAGTACATTACAGAAAATAATGAACTTTGTCACAATATGCTAATTTTTTGAGAAGGACCTGTAATAGTTTACATTTCAAGTGAAATGTTTGTCAGCTCCATGTTTAAAAAGATTATACAAGTTGAAAGAAAAAATGTAAATTTTGCAACAGTATCTGTAGTAACTGTGTCATGCTGTGTATTTGATTTGAGTCACTCAGAGGGGTAGGCCTATAAGGATGTCAGTACAGATTTGTTCTTAAGTTGTGCGTACAAGTGATTTAGGAGAACTTGTGGCATTCACCAAATTTCTCGTATTGTAAGATTTTCTTCAGATACGAACAAAATTTACAAGTGGTCCAGACCTGTCGTATATTTTAAGAGCAGTCTGCTGTTATCCTGACTGATTTTCTACACTAATAACTTTATATTTCATTAGTCTGAAGATATTTCGAGTTGAAAATAAATCACAATCCATCATTATGTTGACAATAGGCTATTCTGCTTGAATTAGAGTTATAATTTTAAATGTATTAGTGTAGCCTAACAATATAATTTAAATAGTTATTAATGCTGTTGTTTAACACTACAATATTAATATGAAGATCTCAAACTACAAATCAACTTAAATTATGCATTAATTTAGATTTAATTTGTCTCAGTATATAATGAGGTCAACAGGAAGTGAACATAATCGACAGCTTTATTCAGATATTAGGTTGTTTTTTAATCAAATTTTATTTTGTTGAGATTTATTCAGCACATCAGCTGCAAGACTTTCTGCTATTTTTTATTTTCCAAAGCACCAGACTTATGTTGGAGACATTTTAAAATGCTTTTTTGATGTTTCAGACACATCTGACACCACTTGGGTGTGTGGGAAACAGCGAGGGACTGACACATCGGATAGTCCGGGCTGTGGTGCTGTGTCTAATTGCTCTTCTTCTAAATAAATGAAAAGTATGTAACACAGATTGCCATTTTCATGAATGGACACTTCCTGGTATGTGGGGCAGGAAGCGTAGCCTTACGTGGTGTTTTTGGGGTGGTAATTATGCTAATGTCCTCTCCTCGTGCACGAGCACCTGAATATGAACAGGTGGCATTCATCAAGTTTACACTCCTCATTTTCACACTTTTCCTGAAGATAGAAGCGTTTGCTGAATATGACATGGCATGTTCGTAGGAGCACTTTGTACGAACATTAGTAGTAGAAATTTAGGATAAAAAGTACAAAAATGTTCTTGCATGAGGCCCATTGTGTGATGTTTAGGCTCTGAGTAAATACTCTGTATCTGTACTCTGTATCGATGAGTACTCAAACTGACGTACTCGATACATCTTTACACAAGCTTAAGAATCTAAATTTGCCTCGCATTACAGATTGGGGAATTTGCTATAAACTTTTAGATATAAAGAATATTTACTTAACCAACTTTTTTGAATAATGATTGTTAAGCAGACATTAAGAAACAAAATTTCATGAAACCATTTGGTTCCATTTTCTTCCGTACAGCTAGGCCTTCCTCATGTATGTCTACATGTTATAGGATTCTATCACTTGTGTTGGTAGCAAGTGAGAAATGGGATATTCTTGATTTTGTTGGTTATTTTATAATTGTTGCTTTGCTGTGATACAAAGAGATGCCTTACTGAATAAAGATCTGCACTGTGGAGAAGTTATTTTAAGTATTAAATCTACAGTTATGCAGACTGCTCAAACCAGCTATTTTTGTCACGTGTTTCCTTCTTCTTTATGCTGTTCCCTTTATAATAAAATTTGTTGTGAATGCTCTCAGGTCAAGCACACTTCAAACTTGAAAACAAAAACTTTAGACCCATATATAGTCATATCCTGTTAGCTTTATGAAGGATTTTGGAGACTTTTTGTGTTTGGCTGAGTTTCTAAAATCAGATCACCACAACCATGTCCTGGACCAAAGACTGTTGAATATGGCGTTAATCAAATAACTAACGGTTCCTATGTGATCTAAAAGCTGCATTGTTTAGTTTGGATCCTCCTTATTAGATTGTGTATTTTAGCAGTGCACATTTTAGCTGCTAGTATTTGCGTGGCTGGCTGAAAAGCACTGAAAAAGATTTCTGTATGCATGTCTCATTCAGGAAAAACTGAACAGCAGTGCTGGCAGACTTTGCCTGAAGCTACACTGTAGAGAAAAATGCCTCGAGGCAGAGAGCCCTTTAGAATGGATAAATGACAACCAGTGCAACTGGTCAGATGAGGACAAGCTCTGGAAGTTTTAAATGCACCACAACACACACAGGAATGCAAAACGTTCCCTTTGTCCCGTCATTATATTACCTGTTGTGGTAGGGGCTCCCAGGGCACATAAATTGGGCAGATGTAGACCTGAAACTTGGTCTCCATCTCATTCAGGATGCTCCTGCACTCCTTTTCGTCTAAAAACCGAGCCACTCCTGGAGCGTTTGTTTTGATGGTTCGTGTGCAGACAGAAGTGACCACCCCTTGCAACACCTCCTCTGCCATTTGGCAAGCAACTGCATGGCCATGGATCTAATCAAATTAATGGTTTAAAGTTATGTTTGCCATTTAAAATCTAAATAATAAATTAAGTATGCAAAAAATGAAGGTTTTGATACCTTTAACCCACAAGCACTTTCGTTCTCAAGTGGAAAAATTGACACTTGATGCATGTCAGCCAGCAGCTGATGACAGTGAGTTTGGATGTACTTCAACATGCCTGGCTCCATGGAGATGACCGTCTCCCTTTCAATGGGTGTAGTGAGGAACATCATGATCGCAGCCTGCTTCTCATCTTCCATTCCTTTCAGAGTCCAAACATCAATATTCGCTCCTGGTTCTGACACCTTTACAGAGGTGAAACCCAGAGACTGCAGAAACTCGCTCCACTCCCTCAGGTACAAGATGCACTCCTGCTCCATCTCCACAGGCATGCTGAAGCAACACACCTGGGATTTTAAAAAGCTACACGCCTGGTTGGCTGCGTTTTGGGACAGGGAGGTAACAGAAACGGTAGAATCGGACACGGAGTACAAACAAGACGACTCGGCTTGATTTATGGTCCGTAATAAACGCTCTTTCACGTCTTTTCTGTCAAGAAACAGAGCTTTTTCCAGCTCTAGGGTGAAATTAGTCTGTACCATGCTCCCAGTAAAGTCTGTGATGTTATCTTTTAGCTGATCCAGCTGATGTTTGTTAGAGCCTTCAATGTACACACCATCATTTTTATTCTGGATGCTAGAATTTGGGTTAGCCTTCTGCTGGTCCTGTAGAAAAGTGCTGCTTTGAAACAGAGCACGTTTTACTGGGTCAGTGATGGCAACATGGCATGAAAACATTTCTTCTTTCTCAGTTTGATCCTCCATAACCTCCTCTGCTTCACTGTCACCAAGAAGCTCCAACTCTGTCTGAGAGGATGACTGACCACTGTTTGACGCCCCAGCAGGGAAGGACTGGTCAGGGTCTGCATTGTCCAGGAGGGGACTGGTCTCCATCTGAATACTGCTCAGGTCTTCAGAACTCTCAATTACATCTTTAGTCTCATCATTCAAGATTTCCGAAGTTGAGCTCTGTGCAGGTTGAAGAAAGTCAAAGTAAGGCTTCACTACAAGTTTGGTATCATTAAGTTTGTGCGGAAGATCAAGAACAGTGTCCACAGCTGTTTGGGGAGAAAAATACACTTTGTTTAATAAGTAAACTCAAATAAAAAGTTCTAAAAGTTCACAAACTGCAAAAACTTACATTCATAATGTGCGAAGGACACCTTCACTGTGCCCTCTGACAGCGCAGTGACCTCCTTCACCCTCTGACTCCCACCTCTCTCACTCTCAAAGTACAAAGTGAGCAAGTCTGGAGTGGTGCCAGGGTGCACATTCTCCACCAAGACAGAGTCTGTTTGCTCAATCTGTTCAAGAGTTACCTTTGCCCCATCCAGTGTTCTCTTGGTGATTTTTGTGCGAAGCTTTTGGAAATCTAAAGGGAAAAAAACATTAAATAGGCCATGAAGAAATGATGAAGCAGTTATCTTATCGGAGTCTTGTTAAAATGTGTGAATACCACGACATATCAAGAACATTTCAGCACATCAAGATGCCGAAGGTCATTTAAGACACCCACCCTGTTGGTGCATTTGACATAAAGTGCGTATCTGAGAGATTTAAGGAGTTTATTCTGTTTTCTGACATCAGTTTCATTATGAGATGAAACAAAACAAAATCAAGTCCAAACAGCCAGCCTCTATCACTGAACATTATATTGTTTTTAGACATAGAACGCATAATTATTCAACTTTTATTGCTTAATGACTGAAAACATTACACTGGTTTTCCATCTCATATCTTCAAAAGAATCAACTAACGCACGTGTCCAACTCTCAAGGCCCACAGGTCATATCCAGCCTTTCTTAACATCTTATGATATCTTAAAAATAGTTTTATTACTTCCATTTTTGCTTTAAAAAATGTAAGCTTATTGTACTTTGTGCAGTCTAATCAACAATTACTCAATAACAATTAGTCAACTTAAATTTTATTTACCATCGTTTAAAGCCCAAAAAACATGTTGGAATTGTTAAATAGTCTATGATTCTGGTGTGGAAAGAGCAAAACAAACTCATATTGTGACATGAAGCCAAGAAAAGATACCGAATGAGGTTATCCTGCTCACAAATTTGCATACATACAGGGGATAGTGACCTTTTTTACGCCTAGATGCAGCTACACAGCAAAATTAAACTTTGGTACCTCACTTGTTCAGGTTTATCAATCTCAAGACAGACAGATGGACCAAGGGTATTTCCAATTCCTCGCTTCGCTCCACAACAGGGTACAATAAACTGATAAACTGTAGGGGGCCTAAATATTTTCTGAAGCCACTGTTGTCTAACATCCACCAGAAGAAGGTCCAACACCTCCACACATGTAACTCTGCTTCACAGCTTGTTGGAATATTTTCTGAACCCATTATTGTATAATATATGATAACTTGTTTTTATGCCAAATGTTCTTCCTAATGCAACCTGGGCTTGAACCTGCAGCCTCAGGATTACAAAAAGGCAGTCTTTGAACCCACTATTGTAACTATTTTCAAAAGCATTTGTTTTGCATCTTAAGATGCCATAATTTAATCTTAAGAATCCACCATTTTGTGAGCTTTGGGTAAAACAACACAACAAAAAGCTGAAACTTCCTGCAACTAGACATGTCATTTTGGGCCAAACACACTGTAGCTAAACCAATACGTCATCTATAAACTTCAAACAGTGTCACTGATTTTATTTTGCAATATACAACAAACATTTATTAGACCTTTTGAGAGGGGTTGGCTGAGTTGAATGACTATGACGTCTCTCTCTGGGGAGGGGATCAGGGTGTAGTCTGTCATGTTCAGGTCCATCATGTTCTCCACATACAGCTCGATCATCTCTGTGCTGGTGTTGGGGTTGGTTCCTCGCAGCAGCAGTCTGCGTCGGTCCTTAGAGTGGGGCTTCTTGACGCTAAGTTCAGTGTTGAGCAGAACGTGGTGGCTCTTAGCCAGAACTCTGGCTGCAGCTGCCATTGTTATTGAAGCAAGAACAAATTTGTAACTGATAAAAATATGCACTGTCTACAATGAACATCTTTAATGTTTCTAGATATATGTATGGGTAATGTTGAAAATTATCCTTCATTTTTTATATTTTTGAGAGGACAATGGGAAACAGAAGCAGAAACCTATAAAAACATAAATAAAACTATTGTATACAAGGCAAAATTTAGGTTTCCTCAACACACATCCCACAAAACTTCTTCAAAAGCTTTCTAAAGCTCTGTTTTTTCAGACTGGCACAAAAAGACTGAGACTTGCCTTCTGTCTCTTCAAACACCAGTATGGCATGGTTCTCCTTCTTCTCCACAGATTCAAGAGGACCTCCTCCAGAGCGCCGCTTGTTCTCAAAGTAGAGATACAGCAGCTCCTCATCTACACCGTCAGGAAGGTCCAGCACCTCCACAGACCTCTCCTCCATACTTTCACCAGACATCCTACAAACACAGAAGCAAAAAATGCCAATCAAAGGGTTTGATTTTTATACTATTACATTATTCAACAATATTAAAGATGTTATAAACAATAACAAAACACACAAATGGCATCAAAGTTTTAAGGGATATGTAATACCAAAGACAAACATCGACATTAGATCAAACAAAAATTCTGTATTTTGTTCTAATAAATGAAAACTGGTTCAAAATGCTGCATCTTTGTACGATGCAGCCAAAAAAAACAATTTTGGTTTCTAAGTTCGTATTGTGAATACTGAGGGAAGAGGTTTAATGGTGTGGTAATAAGGTGGAAATTCAGGATAATATTTCCACCTTTGGGTGTGTTATTTGAGAGTATAAAAGGTTTTTGTTTCACATTTTGTTTATTTGACAGTGTAATGCAAAATTTAAGATTCTGTATGTTACTTAAAAAATGTTATTGTTTTGTTTTTCAATCACATATAAAAATGTTAGAGGTGTCCCGATGCAACTTCTTCACTTCCGATATACCACAGATATTGTTCCCTTGAGTATTGGCCAATACCGATGTCGACTCAATACGATATCAGAACAAATCCTACATACTTTTAGTTTTTTTGTAGTGTGGAATCTTAAAAAGTCTTGATCAAGTCAAACAGTAAACAACAACAGTACATTTTAAAAAAACTGGTCCCATTTTTTATTAACCAATGGGTTGCATACATTTTTAACTTAAACATAATAATATTCTACAATCAAATAAAAGAAACTGAAAAAAATACCTCAACAAATCCAATAAAAACAAAATATACTTTTAAACTTAGTGTAAAATAACTATTCAATGCCACTTTATCTATGCTGGATTGAAATCCTGAGCAGACCACTGGAATGACCGCTAATTTCAGAGACTTTAGATGCAGGCTCATATAATCCAATACACATTTTTTGGCTAATATCGATCCAATATCCGATATTGATATTGTATCGGGCCACCCCTAAAAACTGGATGTCATACATTGTCCCTGTAAGATACTTGAACCAAACACTTACAGCTTTCCAACTGGGAAAAACTGAGGAGTGCGCACAATGATTATATTCTTATTTATAATTATTTAATGATCCAGTAAATGTATGGTCCTGTCAATGAGGGGTCCAATAGTCTTTATTAGCTTGTCAATACAGTCAGAGGATCTACTTCAAAAATGGGTTTAACCATCTTAAAACACCTCGAATAATTTGTAATTATAATTGCAAAAAGCAACCAGCTCACAGGTCATTTAGGATAAAAAATGAGGTTGTGTTTGAAAAGTTCAGCAGGTAATTTATGTCGTTATACAGACCTGATGCATTTGATCTACAGTGATTTTTTACTTTCTTTTAATATCAGAGGTGAAATTTTTCAGAGATATCTTGGAGCTATGAATCTTTGTTGAGCTTGTTTAACTTTTATTTTGTCATGGTTTAGTGTATATTGTTATGTACTGTATAGACACTAATTACATGGGCATAAGTTTAATTAACTGCTGGATCATTTAGTAAAGTAGGTAGTAGGGGTGTAAGAAAATATCGATACACTGAAATATCGCRATATTTCATTTCCCGATACTGTATCGATATCCTAAAGCCCTGTATCGATTTTTTTATTAAGGTTTAAAATGTCAACTTTCCTCCCAGATGTTCATTTTTATGTTGTAGTTCAGCCTCTGACCACTAGTTGGCAGCAGTGAGCCAGACATTTGGCTCCTCTATCTCTTGAGGTAGAGGCCATTGTTAAGTGTTGGGTGACCATATTGTAAATTAATATTAAAAACTAAAAGCTGCAAAAAATATATTTTCAAACTATTTATTGTCAAATTTAGTCTAATAATTGAAAACAAGGATGAAATATGAACCAAATAAAATAAAACACATACAAAGCAGAACACAGCTAAATGTATCAAAAGTATGTCTCTGTAATATTAGAATTTTCTGAGACAATGAATTTTGGTTTTTCTTTTTTTCCCTGTAAGAGGTTTTTATTTAATAGAATTTTTGGACAAAAAAAATCGCAATATATCACCTTGCTTACAGTATCGCAATATATCGGGATATATCGTATCGTGAACCCTCTGTCATGATATGTATTGTATCGCCAAATTCTTGCCAATACACAGCCCTAGTAGGTACCGGCAGGACTTAAAATGAACATATATTTTGAATATCTCGTAGCTCGGTCAGTTCATTTGTATGGGTATGAGCAGATAAGAAGAATAAAATTCAAAATGAATTGAAAGACTAAACAACAATGAAAGCTATCATTTTATTTATTGTTAAATGCATAAATTATGTGAATCAAAATTATGTTGAATATGAAATCGTCACAAGTTACAGAATTATATTTTTATGAAAAAAATTTAAAATTGCACCGTTTTTGACTGCTTGCTCATAAAAAAGTCCTACAGCGCATCAACACACCAATATTTCACTTCATCCAATGATTTCTCTACAAGTCGCAAAAACCATCAGCAACCGAACCGATAAATGAGGAAAAACCTGGTTGCATCTGTCAGATCTGAAACAGTGACACAGGTTTGTTTATACTGAACAACCTCTGACCTCTAACCATAATGCTGTGTGCACAGAAAACAACAAAATGATCAATTATACAGTGGCTCATATAAATCTGAACATGTTTACGTACATGTTGCATCACAGTTATTCAGGTAGAAACCGAGAAAAAAAATAAAGGTAGTCTACAGCCCGGTAGGGTTGGGCAATATTGGCAAAAAAATTAATCACGATTAATTGTGGTATTTAGCCGATAACGATTAATTTGACGATTAATCCCCTGGAGTCCCTGGAAACCCTTATTTCATAGTCACATGACCAATTTAGTGGGAAAGATTTGCTCTTTGTAAAAAAAAATGTTCCAAACTGTGTGAAAATTACAGATTTCAGGATATACATCATATTTTAAATTGTGCTGATAGACAAATAAATTACAGAATTTAATTTTTAATGTTCGTCATATTTGAAGCGGAGAGGAGCAGCGAGCGGACTCTGCCTGGTGGCATTAATCGTATTAATCGTCAAGTGCCAAAAAGATTAATGTTTTTCTGACGATTAATTGTACACGATACGATTATGCCCAACCCTACAGCCCAGTGTTGCTGCTGATTTTCACAGAATACTTAAATTACAACTTAATGCAAAACTAACATCTGTCCATTTATGAAACCGCTTGAATCCAGATGAAACTATGGACGGTCACCAGTCCTTTTGTTTGTTTATCAAACTGAGGCTGATTACAGGACTTTGTACTTCAGGTGAGCTGTTACCTGTTCAGGACGTTTCCCACACCACTCAGCCTGAAATGCCTGAATTATCCATTAAAATCTGATCCATGAGGTTTAAACTGCTTTATGAAATGTGAAAAATCAGACAAATATAAACATTACTTCAACAAAACTTCAGTCCTTATCAACATAGCATACGTCCAAATGAGTTTTGACAGTAGTAGTAGTAGTAGTAGTAGTAGTAGTAGTAGTAGTAGTAGTAGTAGTAGTAGTTGTAGTGAACTCGACTTTAAAACCTGAAACTTTCACTAACAAGAGTTTTTCTAATGTCTTTTAGTATTTCTCCGCATTTAATGCTTTTGTTTTTAGGAATTACTAGAAAGTAATATTTTGATTTTGAGGCCTAGCAGAAGTCATCGCAGCCAGACGAAAAGTCCGTGCTACTTCAATTTCATTTCAAATATCACTTTTTTAAACTGATAGATAAACGTTATAATCCCACTGAGAAACACGGTGTCTGTGTGACTCAGTTTTTATTTAATGTGCACTTTATATAAAGTTCAAACTTACTATCTGCACGAGCTGTTCACAGCTAGAAAGTGAAACTAGCTCCGGTTTTACCCACTGAATTAGAAGCTAACAGGAAAAACTCGCAAAACGTCTGCTACTACATAAACAAATTATATTATCACAAGGTGGTTACACTACTTTATATGTTAACTTACCTGAGCTACAAGTAAGACATTTGGTTTCGTCGAACACAAGGTGGACTTCCGTGTTTTGCTGCTTGATTTTGAACGTCGTCGGGCGGCGACGTAACGCGTTCACGTCACCGACGCCGCCATCTTGGTGGAGTAAACAAGTGAGAACCGTCGTGAAATTACACCAGATAGATGAGGTTTTGTTTGCTTTATTGTTCAAAAAATAATGCATACACGGAAACAAAGGGACATATTTATTCATTAGAGGTATACACAGTTACAGTACCACAAGTTAAGCAGAAAATTAACACAAAAATAACCTTGAAGCAAAGCAAAAAGAAAAAAATTGTATAGGTCTTCTGGACGGGTTCTTCTCTAATGAAACGTTTCGTCTCTYCTCCAAGAGACTTCTTCAGTCTGAGAGTTTCAGGCAAAATTTAAGCCCTGCCTCCATGTGACTGATACTCACATCACATGGCTATCGTTGACACCTAATTAACATCTATTGTTAACAGGGGGTGGAGTGATACTGGCAATAGCAGCACTGTAGGAGGGGGAAGCAAAGCATCAAACATCATCAAGTAAAAGGAGTGAAAAGAGACAAGTTATTTTAAAACCAAATTATTAACAGATACTGATTTCAGCATTTGAAATCAGACATTAAAAGGTTGTCATATTTTGCATCTAATGAAGCAGTTTGGAAGGGTATTGCAGTAGACTTACAACTATATGCATTTCTGAAATGTGGGTCCACTCTTGATGAAAATAAAGCATAAATTTGGCAGAATCCAAAAACCAAGTGGAAGACTGAGTCACATGACTGATGTACAGAAATGGAAAGTTTCAGAGAAGACAAAAATAATAAGATCAAATCTTTTGATAAATTAGACAGAATGAATTTCAGGAATCAAGCAGGGCAGTGGAGTGCCATAAAGACAGAGCTAAACATTAAAACATGTAGACTATAGCTTTTGCAAAATTTTACCTATTTAGTTAATAAATATGATCATAAATACAAAGCAGTCATCAGCATTGATACAAACAGTTGAGTTGCTTCCTCTTGTTCAATTTTGAAACCAAAAAAAACATTCGACGGCACATTGAAAAGTCATATTTTAGCTTTTGGCTCCAAAAAATGTTGTATAGCTATCCAAAGTCTGCACACTAAGGATGTTTGACCCTCAATATAAAAGTTTTGCTAATGCTCACTCACGTCTCACTATTGGGCTATCAATCACAGAGTTACATTTTTTAAAGCCTCAAAAAACTACATGAAACTAAACATATTTTAAAAATGCATGTTTGAACATATCAGCAAGGTAATGAATACAAGAAACAACAAAAATCAGGAGCTGAAAGAAAATAATCTGAACTGGGGTTTTTAATTCATTAGTAGGAAAACTGTCCTGTTGATGGATGACCTAAATTAGCATTGCTGCCGGCCACTAGGGGGCGTTTTTCAAAGTAGCTTCACCTTCCAGCTTCCAGTGGTACCAGTACATCTGAACTGACTTCTCCATAGAGTCCTCATTGTTGACCTGTTAACTGCTGCCTGTTTGTTAACAAAATGTCTCATGAGCCATTGGAAGGATTTTATTCAACTCCATTTAATTTAATTTAATTTAATTTAATTTTATTTTATTTCAGTCAATAAAGGAGGTACAATGTACATTAATCAATGTAAGATAAACAATTTAAAATGACTGAGCTAACAGCTTATTCGACAAAAATTCAATACTGAAGAATTCAAATTAAAATATAGTTTGAAAAAGCATTAATATATATATATATATATA